AGAACTAATCTTTCTTATTTCATTATTATAATTAAGAGGGGAAAATGTTACTGCTGGTACTCTCATTTTGTGTGTTAATATATCTTCCTAACGAACTGTTCTATTATTATTTTTTAGAAATGCAAAAAATACAAAATTTGGAAAAGGCAAATCATCCACAACTATTAACAAATATTTAAAAATTGCTAGTGTAATTTCTTTCTAATTCTTTTTCATACTTCGCAATTATCAGTCATAGATACTTGCAACTCTCATAGTGATGCTTACAAAAGAAACACACTCTGAAATTCGAGAAATGAATTCCTGAATTGAACACACAGCCTAATACTAAACTACATTGCTGTATTCTATTATTTTTTCTTATTTAAAAGGAAAATCTAGAAAACTCACATCTTTGTGTTTCAAGCTGCCATTTTAAATGTACTAGATGAATAAAACTTCCCAGACAAGGCGGCAATACCAGGCCCCGTACATGCAGTAGATTTATATGTAGGGACATTTTACATACTTTAGCTATTAATTCACCCATAAGATGACCATTTTTGAATAAAAAATTTTTTAATTAATTCTTCTCTTACATATACAATTAGTCTTCCAAATTTTCCTAGGTCTAAGAAAAAGAATCATTCCATTTTTTTATTGTGGTTTTTGTTTAAAATTAATTTTTTAGTGTTTAAGTCTTACAATAAATACTTTTAAGTTATACATTCCAACATTGTGATAAAGGATCTATATTTTCAAGCACAGAGGAATAACAGGGTCATGATTAAAATATTGTTGTTTTTTCAATTTGTTAATGGAAGTTAGCCTAAGGGGTGTGAAAACAATGGTTTTCATTGATATGTACTGTAAGTCAAAGATTACCATTTTATATATTTAATACTTGGTTTTTAATCCAAGTGAAACTTTGTTTGCCACTTTGTCTTGCATTTAGTGCTTTTCCTTTTCGAATACATAACAAATAAGGAGAGTTACACGGACCTGGAGAGGGTCCTATTTGCATTTGTGCTCTTCTTTTCATTCATTACTGACTTTCAACATTAAAGCACCTTAGTTCTAAGGAATTGCTACTCTCTGGACTTCTGAGTGTAATCATTTGAGATCAGTCATGTAGGTCAATGATGATGCTTAGAATTTTTTTTTTTTTAATGTCAGGTGACCATTTAAAAATGCTCATACCTAAACTTAATCGATCACTCCAAAAAAAAAAAAAGAGTGAAAATTGTATGTTTTTAATCCATAGGTTTGAGACTTTTAAATTGTTCAATCTTGTCCTAATTTTCAAGATCCAGTAGACTATTTTTTCATTCTAAAAGAAATTCTTAAGAGCCATGATCTAGTAATATAGAAATGAATAATAAGGTCACTTTTTCCCCCCAGAAAACATGATGGTTGATGTACCTAAGAAAATATGCAATACAATGCCAGAGGTAGGTTGGGTAAACCATTATTCTGTATTTGACTTTCCATTTATTAAGTGAATAATATTATTACCATTCTGTATAGCCAAGCATACAGATGCAGTTCACAACAAATATTTTATAACCTAGTAGCTATAAGTAAAGTTCTTGCCATTTTACAAGAATCTGATTTAAAAACTAGTAAAATCCACTTACCTGAACAATTCCCTTTTTGATATAGTTTTGAAATTCTATAAAATATATATGTTCATGAAATTAATTTGAATAGAAAATATTTACCTATTTTTACTGTAGTTTGCCTGCGTGAATGCTAACATTGGTTTGATGTATCAATTTTGCTTACCTTAACTGAAAGTGAAAAGTTTATACCTATTGCTACATTGCTTGGAGAACAATCAAATGTAATGGAAGCCAAGCAATTCACACTATTTATAGACACTTTTCAGCATCACCTGCCTTGTACTGATTGTTTTAAGTACAGTTGTAAACTTTTGATTTTTAAGAGACTCTTTGAAGACATGGCAGATGTTGGCTTTGCTAATAATGCTGGAAAGCACAGCAGGTTCAAAGTTACAAAAAGGTTTAACACATATAAAAAAATAATAGTGTGCTATTGTATTAAACTTGGTTAATTTCAATTGTCAATAAACTATAATGCAAGCCTAAAGTCTATAAATACATGTCTTTAAACTTCTGGGGTTTGTTTGTGTGTGTGTTCATGTATTTTTGTGGAAGGGAAAGGCATGTAGATTTATGCTGGGAAATGTGGCCTATTGTAGCTTTAACATTGTTATTCTGGATAAAAATGTAAGGTTTTTAAATATTTTCATTGTTTTCTATATTTTCTGTGTTTTATAAGTGTACTAGAATTTAACATAATAATGAACAAATACATATACAGTCTAGGCACTAGAGGCAAAGGATACAGAATTTTCATTCTGATTGTGTCTTAGCTAGATGTATTATATTTACTCTTAATTTAAAATACATAGTGGTATAAACTCTACAACAAAGAGAAACGGTCTGTATATTTCATGATGTGATTTGCAGCCAAGACAATTTTAAATTTCAGAATTCAGAAATCAGTGTAGTTTTTAGAAATATAGAAACATTAAGACTGTGCTATAATCTGTGAGAGATGTATATGCTACTAACATGCTAGAATTGTAATTTCTCAATATTGATCCAGCTTCTGCTAGATAAAGATGCCTTCATGACACTAGGAAGCGACAAATGTTTTGAAAAATATTTTCTGGCAAATCAAATGTAATAATATCCCAGGAGAAAGATTTCTTGAATTTAAAACTATCTACAGATCGGACACGTACAATTTAACTCACATTGAAATCAGAAGTTACAGTCACTTTGTATACATATATATTTTTATATATATGTATATTTACTGAGAAATGATTGTGACATTTCTGTTTGGTCAAAAATTCTTTCTAAACAACTCATCAAAGAGAAAGCCTATTCTAAGTTCCCAGTGATTTTATTCTTGGCGATGACTAATTGTATTTCCCACTCAAGTCATAACCTATTAATGCTCACGCAGCTGACACCGGCTTTTATTTTTGTTTGTCTGTCTACTATCCTAAGTATCAGTTTCAACGTGGAAAAATCAAGGTTTATTTTGTTATATAGTTATATAGTTCTTTTCCACAATGAAGGGGCAGATAAGTACTATTAAATTAGTACACACACACACACACACACACACACACACACACATACGTTTTTTAAAATAAGAGAATCGGTTCTTGAATCCCACTTTCTGTGACAGTCAGCCGAAACAGCATGTGTCTGTATGAAGATCTGGTTTGCCTAAGAAACGTGGGCAAATTGGTTTCCTTCAGGAAGCATCAGGCACAATCTATCGCTTAGATTTTTCATGGCAGAAAATAAGAGCCTCTGGTGATTGTAAAAGTATTCTGACCAATCTGGACTGGGATCTGCTTCCAAACGTTGCATTGCTATCAATACCTGGTCTATGAAACAGCCTCTGCATTCTAAAAACGGACTTTTTCCTAATAAACGTGGAAAATTTCTTGTTACGATGGACCTTTCAACTCCGTCTAAAGGGAGGTTCACTTATAGTTAATAACATAAATTAAATAGAAGTGACACTGCTGGTGACTTTCTGTGCATTTTCACAAATTGACTTGTAAAAGAAAAGGTAAATCCCTGACCTTGGAAAGTAAAAGTTACATTTTGAGACTGTGACGGAAGAATCCATTATATACTACCGCCGACGATTAATCAATACCATTGCTGCAAAAGAGAATGAAATATGCAGCCCAATCCATCATTGTCATTTAGGCAGCATCTTACTAAAGTTTTACAAAAGATCAACATTTTTCAATCTTTCAAATCAGTGGGGTTACCTTCCAGGGGTTACCTTCTAGGACGACTACCCCAATTCCTCAAAAGAACGAAAAGAAGGGGGCCCGTTTATTAAACAAAAAGTACCTTCCAAAAAGATGGAACCCAGGCGCGCTACAGCTATGAAAGAAAAGTCATAACCCTCTTAATTGTAAACTATCTTATAACATTTCTCCAATGATAAAGAGAGACAAGAGCTTTAAAGAGCGACCTGCAAAACTCCGGTTTCTCAGGTTGCTACAATTAACTTGGCAAGCGGTGCCTTCCTGCACGGAATTCAGAAAGGCTCCGCTCTTGCAGGGCCACTGGGGCTTGCGCACACGGAGCAACGCCTCCTGCACGCACCCTCCTGTGCCACCTTCAGGAACGCAGCTGACTGGGACCACTGAGCTGTTCTTTGCTTCCTACTGCTTTGATAATGCCCAACCCAGAGGGCATTTTATTTTCCACTTTTGAAACTCAGATTCTCTCTGAGGCTTAGCACCACAGGAATGCGAACTACTGGTAACAACTGTCTTCTTCAGACTCTGAGCATCTATACATTTACAATGATCTGACATTCCTTAAAATCTTCCGAATTCTTAATGCCTTCTTCCCCAAGACCAGGAAAACTTTACCCATTTGCAAGAGAATACTATTTTTAAAACTCTATTATCGGAATGTTAAAAAAAAAAAAACTTTTTTTTTCACATGCGTTCTGCCAAGTTCCATGGCAAGTTCCAAATATTGTGCAATAATTTGGAAATCTAGTTAACGATGGGAAAAACCGAGCCACTCAGAGCGGAGAACTTGCAAAGGAAAAATGAAGGACCGGCACCCGCACGCACGCCAGCCCAGGAGACGCTGCATCCTGGGCGCAAACCCCTACCCAGCACTCTGACGGACCGTCACGCTTCGCAATCGATTTCGCATACTGTCACTTGTCCTTTTTTCTCAACCTTCTGGTAAACTAGTTTGGCATCTTGGAGAGTTTAGAGCTGCTGGCTGCACATGTGTTGCCCTCAGAGAAGCACGTGCCCCCAAATAACAGGACCAAAGCTGCGCCGCCGAATTTGGCCGCGGGGAGCCAGAGAAGGCTAGGCACTTCGCATCCTCCCGGCTGCCTCCCTGCAGCGCCAGAAATCTCCCCCGGCATCTCTCCGCCCTCTTTGCAACCTGGCGCGCCCCTCTCGCAGAGCATTCTCTGGGCGCCCTTACCTGAGCTGTCGCTTTTCCTCTTGCCGCCACTTCTCTTCTCCACCTCCGCGGGTGACAGCGCCTGGCGGCCGTAGTCCCCCGGCGCGCACGCGGCCCCTGTCGGGGTGCTGGAGCCCAGGCTGGAAGAGTTGGAACACAGAACTGGAGGGCTGCTCCCCAGCTCCGGGGGCCCTCCAGAGTCGGGCTGGAGGCAGAGGCTGTGCCGAGCCGCGCTCGGTGGCGAGGTCATCTGCGGAAGGTGCCAGTTGGTTTGCAGAGCCTGGTGCTGCTGCTGTTGGTGGTGATGGTGGTGGTGATGGTGGTGGTGGTGGTGTCCCCTGTGATGCTGACTGGCAAACATGCCCTCCTCGTTGGGGTATCCCGCGATTATGCAAGACGAGGAAGAAGTGGAGAGCTCGGGGTAGGACATATGGTCTGATCTTCCATGCAGGGCGAGGGAAGACTGGGAGAATGGATGCAAGCCTTGCGCGGTGGCGTGAGGGCTGCGCAGGCAGCCAAAGAGCGGGTGTTCCATAGCATGCAAGTCCCAGGTTCCAGGCAGAAGACTTCACGACGGTTCCAAATGCCACCACCCTCTGTCACTTTGCACTGAAAACTCTGTGACTTTCCCCCTCCCCTCCCAAAGCAATAGCCGCGAGCGTTTCCGCAGAGCTGGGATAATCCCGGTCCTGAGCCCTAGCGATCAGTCTCCTTTACATATAAACACTCGGACCTGGAGGAGCTTCCCTCTGAGCTACTCAGATGTCAAGAGTGGGAGAGGTTGAAGCCAAAAGAAGGTGGTCCCAGAGAACTGTTTTCAGGGGGAAATGGCTCTGAGAGGTTATAAATAGAGTGTAATGTGAGCTGGGGGCTGGCTTAGGAGCCCAGCGCTGACCACATGCGAACTCCCTCCAAAACTCCCGCTCAGTCTGCGCCACGCGCTCCCAGTTCCACTTCCGATCGCCGGCTGGACAGACTCAGGGAGTCCACGCCCGCGCGCCTCTGCCAGCCGCCAGGACTGCGAGCGGCGCGCCCAGCGCCTGCACCCAGCCGGGGCCTGCAGCTGCTGCATCTAGGCAGGCTCTGGACGCCCAGGCGCGCTGCGGCGCACGCCGACCGCAACTCCGCACCCCGTTTATGACCGGCTCGCTTTTCTCGGGAAACGTGCCCTGTCAATGTCATTTGGAAACTGTCACTTGAAAGAAAGCTCCTTGAAAGAAAAAGGTTCCTAGCCCTTGAAGAGTGCTGAAGAAACAATAGGGTTAAAGAAAAAGATCAGACCTAGCTGGGCGCACGCGGAGGAAAGTTTGTCAAACTTTGCAAGCGCCCTAGGCTTCCGTGGCTGGTGTCTGTGTCTGTGGGTAGGTTAATGGGCTCGAACGCCAGGTCCGAGGTCGCAGTGATGCTCCCTACGGACGGAAAAAGGCCATTCTCAGTCGGGAAGGAGATAGCCCTGGTTGAGTGGGTGGCGAAAAGCGTGAGTTGTGTTTGCAAATGCCCCCACCACCACACCGCCTCCAGGGCACCATCACTTGCCATGCCAGGTGAAATCCACTTCCTTCCACTTGCCCCTCCCCCACCCCCACCCCCTGTTTCCCTGGTCGCGCTCAATTTCCCAGCCACTTGTGCACCAAGAAGTTTTCCCGGGTCAGGAATATTCCGAAGCGATTTCGTCCCGGTCACATGCGATGTGTAGATTGCAGGAGCATTTCTGGCCTTGCCCCGTCAGTAGTCAGCCCAGATCCTCTGAATTTCCTCCAGAAATCCACCCTCCCTTCCCCTTGAAAATAAATCATTTTATCCCACCTTATCCCACAGCCATGGCTCCATTTACTGAGAAATAGCACTACTCTTGGGCCCTTCACTTCTCCCTAGTTCTTACAGTTTTGCCTCCCTGAAAATGGTTTAGAAACCTCGCCACCAGTGAGCGTGTACGAGTCGGGGAAAGGTTTTGTACCGGCACTTGCTTGGGGGCCAACAGGGTCTGCTGGGGGCAGAGTCATTTATACACCTCAAGTGAGCAGCGGGTAAGGAGCTGTAAGAACAGACAGATTCAGACTGGGACTTGGCGCATCTGGAGAATTCTGCAGTCACCTATTTCGCCTGGGACCCCAAAAGCACCACCAGCAGTGTCCCCGTTATTTTCATTGTCTCAGGTGTCCAGAGGATGGTGACCAGTCTTTGATGTTAATGGGATTAATGGGTACAGCAAACTGGGCTAGACATCTGGTTTAAATTAAGGAAAAGTATTGATTAATCTTTGGGTGGTGTCCCCAAGGCAGAACCTTTCCCCTCACCCAGCCTATCTCTCTTTTAAGTCCTGCTTCAGAATAGTGACTTCGCAATAAACCCTCACATCCCTGTGAAAGATCGAATTGTTTTCCATTGCTTAGAGGTGGGGTGGAGTGGGGGTTGATCAAGAATTCTGAGATTTGTAAGCACTGCTTTCTTTAACGGAAATTGAGCCCTATTTTGAGGGAAATTAGTTTTGCAGACTTTGTTTAAAAAAAAAAAAAAAAAAACTAAAACTTTTGTTCACCAGCTGCTCAGCTTTTCAGTCTGGGTCTGAGCTGGAACCTGCTGCAAGTCTAACGGTAAGGCTTTCTTTGCCGATATTTCGGGAATCTAATACTGTTTTAGACTTCGAATGGGGTGTTCTTCAGTTGCACGTTTCTGAGGGCTAAAAGCACAAGCAGGACTACGTCCAGGATTTAGATCTTAAGAATGTTTCTTCCTGCCGCTCCCCCCTCCCTTGGCTCTTTAAGAATTTAAAAAAGAGGAGGGAGGTATATTCCTCCAATATCTTGGAATATTTTTTGAATTTTCATTGTGTTTATGGCTTCAATATGTGCTGATATTAAAAGCTGAAGTACAAAGAGTAACACATTAAACTTCTCCAACTCAAGGAGTTCCTCCATGGATTCTGGGTGCAAGCACTTAAAAACTTTATTCAAAGCAAAATGTAGGCAATCCCCTCAGTGAAGGCAACCAGAAATATTTACATAATATTGCATAATATAAATGCTAGTGAGTAAAAGCATTGTGAAAAAATAAAGCTGACCAAAAATACACTTGATCTGCAGATGTCAGTAAAAAACACCCATAAAGGTCCCTTTGGTTTGTATTATATTTGTTTAGAAGAAGCTAAGCATTAATAAATGCATGGATTTGAATTAAACCACTGTAATAAGCAACTAGCAAACACAAGCTTCATCGCCAGGAGCAGAGACTTCTCCTTGAACCTGCCCAATGGCTATGTTGGCTTTCTTTTCACTCACTGTCAGATGTTACGATGTCCAGAAATGTCTCTGCAACCTGCCCCAGTCAGTCAGCCCCCTGGAACTGTGAAGCCAGAAATCTGGGGAGAAAACAAATCGAAAAGATTGGGAAGGAAGGAATGCAATAAAAAATAAAGATAGCAAGAAAGATCTTTTTAATTGACAGCAAACATTCAAAATTAGTAGAACTATGAAGCTCAGATTTCTAATAAAGAGCCTACTGTAAAGAAATTTTTGTTTGAATGGGGAAAAAAGTGATTCAAAGAAGAAAGAAATAAAAAGGAGCTCTTTTTGCATTCCAGTATTGTCTGACTTTTCAAAGTTTTCTCTGAATTTCTAACTATATATTAATTATTCCATGATGATTTTCTAAATTTTTATTTCTTAACCACTTTGTAATAACATGGATATTGATTTTAATTTCCTAGGCCATAGAGAATTTGTTAAGGTAATAATAATAGGAAAAAACATCTCTTGCATTCCCTGCAACAGCTACTTCATCATTTGCCTTTATAAAATCCAAAATTGAAAGATGCCTTTTAACCTAATGATATCATGAAAATGGCAAACATCACAAAATTTATTATAAAACTTCTATAAAGGTCATTTTAAACCATATATGATTTAGTATTAATTTTCACATATAATATATTTCCATTTTTCTGAAAAAATGTTATACCAATATAATATTTTCTGCAAAATTTTAATATCAAGTAGTATGTTATAAAGGTTGGTTTATATATATATATGTGTGTGTGTGTGTGTGTGTGTGTGTGTGTGTGTGTATTCACCTTCTGGTAAAATAAAATGATATTCAGTAAGAAAAGGTAAAGATATTTTAAAATTAGAATTATTTTAAGAGGAATAGAACTCATATGAAACAATCTGAAAAATTTGTACTTAAACTTCATTTTTAGATTCATAGTTCTTTTTAAAATTGCCATTCTTCTGTATGTTTATGATTTGAAGCAAAATGGAAAGTAAAATATTTTAATATAAATATGCTAAAACTTTATTTGCATTTTACCTGAAAATAAATTTTCTTTGCGAGTATACAGTTGTAATATATGAATTCAAGTGTGGATAATGAAACTGGAATTAGTTTCTCACACTTTTGTTGAGGATAAAATGTTATTTATGTGGTATTTCCTCAGAAAATAATCCATGTCTTTCAGCTGATTCTCCTGAAATAAAGAATTTTGAAAATATACATTCAAATATGCTAAATATCCCATAGCAATTTACATGATTTCTATATACTCCATTTTGCAAATTTAAGGACTTGCCTTTCTCCAGGGATTTATACATTAATAAATTTAAGGGACAATTTCACTATAGCTAATGCATGTTGTTTAGAGATTTCATATATTTTTACAGGTTTTTGAAATTATATTTTTGCATAACACCGATTCATGTTTTCAAGGTAAACTTGTTACACTTCTGTATATACATTAATAGAAGAAATGATACTTAAACATTGCTTTTGAAGTATAAAACTATACGTAACATACTTATAAAAACATACTCTTTTTCTAGTTTCTATCTCTTCCTGAATTTATATTTATGATTTCTTTCAGAAATTGACAGTTTTCTTCAATTCAAGTACATTATAGTAAATGATGCTGTACTAAACACTGGCTATATCTCTACCGAAACCGATCAGGAACAAAACAAAATATAATAAATTATAACTATTAAATAGCTCATAATCAGAAAATGAACATGGACTATAGATTATAACTGATAAAATTACATCTAAAAGTTTTAATTAACGATTTTAAATATATTCAAATTCTCATAATTTCAGTTGCTTCCATATACATATTCATATGTTCTGTGAAATTCCAATAATCTCTTTTCTTCTTTTTTCTATTCTTTTTTTTTTTTTTTTTTTGCAGTGAGGATTAAAATGGACTATGTCTTAAATTTCAAAAACTTTTACCTGGGCTTCATTTTGTCTACCTGTTTTAAATGCACAATTATTTAGCAGTTACCTTATAAAGATGCTATAATTACATTCAATTCCAACACTTTCATTTGCATTCACCTTGTATATTCTTTTTATTGATAGATGTAGGCATTTTCAAAATTTTATAGTTGAAAAATGCCTCTTTTCCGTATCTAACTAAAAGATATACAGAGAGCCTAATAAGTGATAGAACTATTATATAACACAATGTTATATATTACATTATGTATTTTATAGCATCAAACTCATAACCATGAAATTTCTACTCAGAATACAAGAGAATTATACTATGTATTTCTCCTGTGTTATAAAAAGCAATGGCTTACTTTTAAACAGATTGAATTTAGAACAAGTTCATAAATCTTAGAGAACAAAAATTTAATCGAAACTAAAGATGGGAATTATAGGTAAAACCTAATTCTTCTGTTTTAAGTTTTCCGACTTAAAGAGTTTAACATGGCTAATGTAATTTTTGGCACTAAGTTAAGTTATTCTTTTGTATTTTTATTTTTCATACTTCATCAATTTGTACCATGTTTTA